TCTAGGGTGAGGACTAATATTATGAGCTACGGCAGTACACGAATGTCAGCCAACTCCCGTCCCAGATCTACGGAGCCAGGTCCGCTGCTGAGCCCGCCGCTCGAGTGCGGAGCACATAGGCGAGAGCTCTAGGCACTAACATTACTATTACCTCTATGGCGTAGCGCGTGAGAGCGGCATCGGACATAACGAAGCCGCCAAACAGTGTTGATCTAGTTTTTACCCAGCTTCATTCCTACAAGCACTAACACTACGGCTGTGATTATGGTAGGCCATAGTTAGTATGACCAATGCCACCATGAGGTTTTTACGCCTTGAATTACGGGTAAGAAATGGCGGGCGATTGGTATTAGCTAACTGCTTTGGTTTGGAACTAGATATCTACTATGAATTTACAGTGTTTCCTTCCAGCGTTAGTGGACACTGGGTATAGAAGATTAACGCTGCACATCGGGAAGCAAGCCTTAAAGATTTGAGCAAAACAGTGCAGACATCCTGAGCCCGAAGAGGAACCGAGAAGCTGCAGTCTCATTGTCATCTATACATAGATTGCGACGATCAGGTGCAGAGCAATCTGCTGGGCAAGCATGTGAAGCTAGGATCAACGCTCAACGCACTAGATCAACGGTAGATGGCACATGTCCAGCCTTTCATTCTACGTGTGAGGCTCACAATTCTAGCCCTTGATGCTATAAAAAAATCATTAGAAGAGATAAAGACAATGGTTGGGCTGGGAATCATCCGAGGGGACGCATAATTGAGATGGGCTATGAAAGCTAGGCTCTGCCAGTCGACCTCCCACACGCTCGCTGGATTGACTCCATGTGGATCTCCATTAGGACACGCTCAATACCGAGTTAGAGTTGATGTATACTCACTCGGTCAATAATAACTAGACTACCGTCTTCTTATAATGGGACGTATGCTAACCAAACAAAATAGATGCGACGTTAGCCCATTGGATCGAGGCAACATGCTAGGCTTGAGATGTTTGGGACGAAGAACTCGAACTTCGAAGATCCCTGAAGCAGCATGGGGAATAGGAAACCACGGACCATAATATGGGCCATACGGATTGCGTTCCGTCTGTAAGATATTAAGTGACAAGCTTGGACTGGCGCCTCCAGGTGGCGTTGTTTAGTGCTGTCGAAGTTGAGGGTCTGGCGTTGCTACCCTGCTTGTCTGCCGTGCCGCGGCGCAGCTCGAGACGGGTCTCAGTCAACACGGGATTGAATGCATCCTGGGGGCGGAATCGTCGTTGATGTTATTGAAGTGCGACCTAAAATCGAATGAGAAATACGAGCGACCGAGCAGTTGAGTGCACAGAGATGGAGCCTGTTATCGGCCAACTGCCAAGAGGTAGGTATTATTTGAGAATAGGATTCTAATGATGTGCTTTTCTTGGCGGGGTTTCTTAGCCCCGTACAGACTTCACGGCCTCTTTCTCATGCTTTGAAGCTCATGTCTTGACGGACGAGGGAGCTTTGATCTAACGGTCGAACCAGGAGTGGGCTTATCTCGCCTATTGAAACTTGACTACAAATTCATCATAGTCTGACCAGTCTTTTGTTCATCTCATCAGCCGCATTTTCGGCTTGCCTGAGGCTAAGGGCTAAATATTAATACTATTATGAATGACCCATGTCAATATCGCTGGTAGTACGAATTATGGCTTTCGCTTTGGACATAACCACCACTCCGCCAACGTGAGGTGTGTACCTTTCTTTCTTTTTTCTTTCCAAAATCGAAGTGATGGAAAGCGTGATGAAATTTACGTGGATTCAATATGCTGCTTAGCTATGGATACCTGGCCCCTTTCCGATCGATGGAACTGGGATTAAGGCATAATTGACAGACAGGTGGGCGTGTTGGTGAAACCGGATACACCCATACCGAATGCAATGACATATAGTTGTCGGAAGAGGCCGACTAGCGTCACTTATATACGCCAGAATCGCGCCACTGCTGCTGCTGATCATGAAGCATCCTGAACATTTTCTCAATATGCTCAGCTGTTGGGAAAATTTTTCCTGTGGAGGAAATGAGCAGCGTTTCGTACGGAGTCTAAAAAGCAAAGGCTCTCCATTGATCCCAGCGATGGGTACCAACGCCACAAACCAACAGCCGCATGTGCTGAGACGGGAACGGATGCACGATATGGTTTCCCCGAAATGGCTGTTGCGCCGCTGATGTCGGCCTTTAGATTTGCATGTGAGCGGTACTACTTTATGTCTGCCACTTACATAACATCTGCATGGAGTAAACAGGGGATCGTGGCTCACCGGTCAGAGAGCGGTGTTGCAAAGCAACAAAATAAAGCACCGCCCCATCCAAAGCGCCTCCTGCTCCCGGTTTCTTAAGATGGTAATGTTATATACTATGTATGTATGCGAGTGGTACATGGCGTTTTGGCTTACCGGCGGCCCCCAATCTCGTGTTGCAATGGCCTCGCCGGTCTCTCAGCCACGGTCTGTGCTCCATGCCACGAAATACAGCCAGACGTCTTGTCCGAGACCGCAGTGTGTAGTAATTGGCAGTCAGGATATGGAGCACGACGACTCAGCTGAAGGAAAGGCTTTTTGCTTCAATCCCAACGGTTCCGGACGTAATCACAGCTTTGCTTTTCCCCAGTCTGTCATTTGTCACCTGTCATGTTGGAAAAGAGACCCCCTTGCCTATCTATGTGAATAGTAGCCAAAGGGCCCGGAGACTTTCCGTTAGAGCTGCACAATCGGGGGGCACTGATCTGTGCTTTGTTCGTGTACTTTGTACCAGGACTCATAATACGCACGACAGACGTCTCTAGTACTCCCTTCTCATCCGGGGAATACCTTATCCGGAGAGAGCATTACGTAGCTAAGAGACATTTACGAGAGTTGATGAGATAATGATTTGACATACGCTTAACAGTACACGCGTGGGATATTGGAGTCTAGAAAGAAGTGACGACCGTCGTTTAGTATTAGTTTGATTTATGTTTTATGCTTCAATGGACCTTTACAACATACTAGCTTGAGACCCAGTTGCAATAGTTGCCATCTACTGCATACTAGTGTATCAAATTAAAAGTTGAAGATTTAGCATGGCTGGCATACTCATATTCTCCATTATTTGTGGCAACAAATTACTATTTTATGCAATTGCACGCCGAACGTCTCAGAGAGATCGTATTTGCTACCAATGGCTTCAGATGAACCTAGAGAGTCTACTAGCGTCTGTATATGTATTAGCAGTCATACAAAGCCTCGCTTTCTGCATTCTTCGTTAACGATGTCTATTGTAAGACCTCCCAGAGTACATTTCTAGAGATAATACGAAGCATAAGATAAATTACAGCGTCAGGATACAAACGTAGTTGAACTTTAAAACGTTTCTCTACTCAAATGTATGTTAGTAATTTTATTGCATGTATTTCAGCTAGGTAGGCAATACGTTATCCAGGCTTAGTGCAACATGATTGCCCTTTACATCTGAATCATCAAGGTGATATAAGAAGCGCTTGTAAACATCGAGTTATCAGGAGCCTGTAGCGGAAGCTCAATTGTTATACCTCGTGTGCCATGAACTAAACCATGGGTGGACTTGTGCAAACACTAGCAACTCGCCGATTTTGAGGTCCAGGTTGTGTGTATACTTTCATTAACGGTGATTTCTCGCAAAGAATTCTTCTTCTCTTATTGGAACTTGGCACGTCTAATTTATGGACTCTTATACAATGAATATGCTACTGGGTATATAGGGTCGATCACCACATATCAATGTTATATGGATAGGCTAGACTCTATCGCCTTTACATCAGACATGCCAGAATATCCTACGACTAACATGCCGTAATTTTCATCTCATCTCTGGAATCATGTAAGTTATCGGCGTCTTGTCTAACCTCAAACTTCACTTTGCCAGTGCGTTATAGCGCAAACAACGCCAGGGCTAACCGATATGGCGTTCAATGGGCTGGAATGATGAAACTATTTGACATATATAAAGCGTGGACATCATACCTCACAGACTCATAGGTCTAATTTATTAACTTAATTTCTAAAGAGTCGCGCAAGACATCCGGCTGTTGTCTCATTATATCATTGTGTTACTCCCCCCCCCCCCCCCCGATGGGCTTGAGCAATACTTGCCTAGATAAGCTTAAATAAAGGATAAAGGGTAGTTACACAGGATATTGCTTGAAATGACGATTAAAAACATCAAGTTCATTGATTGTTCTGATATATTTGGATGTTCCCGTCATAACGGAGGGACCGATCGTATAAACTTGACCAGGCGGTGATCAAGGAGTGCTTCTTAAAGAGGCCGACATGCTATATTTCCTAGAATTGGAATAAGGATGTCGAATTAGGAGCTTTTCATTGAATGCGTCTATGTTTTATGTCGATTAGAATATTCGAGGGCATAAAGTGGTATGAGACTCTGATACATGAACTACTAAACTACGACTTTATCGCATATGGATCATTTATCTTTACACTATGTCCTTTCATGTCGATCTGGCTATTTCCAGAATTTTCAGTCATTTATTTCGGTCATCGTTGAACGCGTTATTTGGCGATATTTTAACTCACTTCTGCGGTTCGCAGCTGCGGGAGAGGCTTGAAAGGAATGTCGATTCACTCGCTCCATCTATACAGCACACATATGCTTAAATGTTGGGAGATCCCCATATGGGAGTTGAATAAATAAAGGATGGTAAGATTCAATGCTCCCCATATATCAATTACTGATGATACTAATAACGGTTTTGTTCTTGGATGCTGTTGCTCGCACCGGATGTCATCTGCTCTCCGGCGCTCTCTATTCCTTATATGCTGCATCCCCCCCCCCCCCCCCCCCCCCAGAAATAGATAATAACAGCTGCAAAGTCAATCTGAAAATCTACTTAATCAGCCTCTATTTTCACGCTACAGCAAAAATATGCGCAGTGGCATCTCTCGTGGACGAAGCTTCCTTATAAAACCCGCAACTCGCGTTAGCGCTAATTAGCGCTTTTAGCCAAGATGGCCGAGTGGTTAAGGCGATGGTTTTAAGTATAATTAATTGACACCATTATCGAGAGATTCCAGGGTTCAAGTCCCTGTCTTGGCATTTAAATTTTTTGCGGGCTTTTTTTTTAATGATGCGGTGGTAATCTGATGTGGATGTGGTGAAATCTGTTTTGCTGTGGGCGCAGTGGCTTGTAGCTGATGGTGGAAATTGCGCGAGCGTTCGTTAGTGCGGGGTTGGTTTATTGGGCGTATAAAAAGGGGGAGAGAGAGCTCTGTGGTAGGAATTTTACATGGACACGAACAAAAGATGGGAGAACGTGTAGAATAAAGTAGTCGATGGGATCCTGTTGATTGGATGAGTAAATCGTGCATTGCCTCTGATACCGTAGTTGAGGAAATATTGTCCGTGTAACACGAAACCGGGAAAGGAAATGGCGTGGTGAAGGAGCTTCTCATACCTAAAATACATAATCTGGTCTTGCATTTTGTTTTGTAAATGAATAAATAAGTCATAGAGCGACCCTTCGCCTAGGTTGATAAATCAAAGTACTCACTTTCGTTTAAATTCAAGGCTAAATATTAATAAAGAGTGATGATATTTTTCTCCAAGTAGATATATACGCGGCCTAGGGCTTCACCAAGAATGTTGTGGCTGTACTTGTTTAACAGCAGAAGACAGACTATAACGCTCGATGCGAGAAAAATAGTTGCAGGCAAAGAGAGTGTCAAACGACTTTTACTTTTGTGAGAATTCATCTACATGAGTGTTGAATCGCTAGTAATGTTGTTCTGCGTGCAAAAGTGTAGGGTAAGCGATCGGTTACAAGACAGACCATGCAAAGCGAGAATGTACCAGATTTCTCTCGTATCAATAGCCACTAGCATGATTACTGGCAGCTGTAGAATATGAGTCGTTCGTAATTGAAGAACAGAGGGAGAAGATTGCTGCTTCTTGTGATATAGCCGAGATTTCGGCCTGACTGTGGCCAGTCAAATCTTACCCGATGTTCATGAGTCCTTCTGATAGCTAATAACAGTTTTGGAAAGGCAATCTTAACTAGTAGAAGATGGTGGTTTTCTTTTAGATCTAGGAGGATAAACCATAAGCTCAACTGGCAATTGATTTGACAGTTTGTGCGTATGATAGTTTTCATTTCGTCCCCAAAATTGCTCATCATTGGTAGCATCAAATCTGTCCTGTCATTATTTAACCATCATATTAAGGACATAAATGACTTGAGTAGTAATTATAAATTTAGCCAGCAGATAAGCTACTACCCTTGGAAATCGAGAGGAAAGGCCCTATTTGCCTGAGCTAGACTTGTCTCCCCAGTAGAGGATTCGGAGTATTAGACCATATTCTGTGCAGAAACAGAAGGAAAATCTGTTTCGGATTGAGCCAAAAAGTGATGGATTCTCGCCCTCGATTCATACACATAAACAGGTTATTTTACTTGGCTATAGTGGCTATTCGCTACAAACAAAGGACGCAATCTATCAAGATACAAAATGACAATATTTCTCGATATTCTCTCCAATATGGGAATGGCGGCCAAAAGAATCTCTATTATGTTGGGAGTAGAAGCCTACGAAACATTCTACGGACGACATACACAGCCACCATCGTTTAAAAGGCTACACAAACAGTTTTCTTACCTCTTCGCCGTAAGTAGCCATTGCAGCGGGGAAAACACTCCGTCTCCCACTTCTTGGCATTACAGCACCTGGACCAAGCTACAGCACTACAAGAGGACATGTTGCTCTAGCAAAGGCAAACACCCCCCAAAACCTACTTTCGAGGCCGTTGAAAGACCGCTTCGAGGCTGTTGGAAAAAAAAAAGCCAAGAAAATCAAGATCTCGAACACGAGGCAGGAAAGAGAATGCAACTAGCAAAGTTTGGCAAACAAGCATAAAAAGATGAATGGGCGAATAAGCCGTGTTCAAAATGACACGCCAGCAAAGATCGAGATGCAAAAGCGGAATCCTTTCCATTTGCCACCAGCCGCGCGGAAACCGAAATGTTTGAAAAGAGCAAATGCCCCGATGAGAAGCGACAACACCACTTCTTCCGGTCAAGCCACGTGCACGCTCAAATTCCCTCAATAGGCAATTAGAAGCCTTTAGAGAAAAACTCTCTTTCCCCAAGCGCGGCGCCTCCTTCTTTTGGGGGCTGGCTACCCGTCTGGGGAAGAAGAAAGTTAAAAGCCCAGGCTAGAAGGTTTCGAACATCGAGAGTGAACGGTTGGAACGTCTTCCTCTCTTTGGCTTTCGTTTTCTACCCCCTTGGCTGAAAACTGAAAGCGTTCGTCTTGATACTAGAGTCGTGTCGGGTTGTCACTCGCGTTTACCCCAGCCCCCTGAATACTCACCGGATAACCTCGGAAGCTGCATGCAGCAGTAAAATTGAGCTGTCGCAATACATCCAACTGCAGCGCCGTTTTCGTCTCGATTTCTCCTTGCATGGCTGTCGGAGTGGCTGGAAGCCACAGCAACATAGCAGTGTCAGCGGCCCAAAAGCAAGGCTGGCCCCATGAGTCAGTGGCAAAAGCCACACCAAAAGAACAAATACAGGGGAGATTTAATTAACATACTCGCCATTGGCTAATCACATCGAAGAACAAGAGCCCATACCGTGCCCAATCAAAATGCAACATGCAACAATGATGGTGCAGCTGAAAAAGGCAAAATTCGTGATCGCGCGTAGAATGTTTGCCAGGAGGGTTTAGCCGCGAATTGCCGAGCCCCAAGATGTCGCGTAAGTCGTATGTAGCAGTCGCGCTACGATTGCACGGGGCCTTGGATTCCTCGTTAATTGAGTTCAGCCTCCTCCAAAATAGAAACCAAAGCATCTCTGACGTCCAAGGTTCAACTTGTGGCGATGATCTCGACCAAGTTTCCACATGGGCACGGGCTGGACCCATTGGATCCTCTTCCCGACTGCTTGCCACCAGATTCATCTGCCAAAAACCTGGGGCCCCGGATTTGCCATGACAAGCCATGACAAAGAGATATTTGCATCTCTTCAATCTTGGAGCATGCCTTTAGTCGATGGGGTAAAAACTGGAGTTGCCCAGATTCCAGGATCTCGCCTTTGCTCAAGGAAGTTGCAAGTTTGTACGTAATTGAAACTCCACCATGGGGAGGGGTGAGCCGAGAGAAGCAGAATGATCCCATCGTGAGTTTTGTCAACTCTGGCATCTCTGACAAGCTACTCCGCAACAGTTGAAATATTCAATGCCGTCTTTCCCTGGACTTGGAGACGGAAGAGGCGGAGGGGAGGCGCTATCGAAAGGCATGGCGGAGGGCGACTAAGAAGAACTCAGATTGTGAAAACAAAGAGCACACTGCCCAGCTAGCTATGATTACTTACCGTCGCATTGATCAAATTAAGCTTGAATCAAAGTGATCCGTTTGGAATGGTCACAGTTCCATTATAGGCAGTATCTGCGTCGCAAAGAGGGAGAAGATTGTCGTTCAGCGGCTGCGTTTCAAGAACCAATCCGCTGCTTGGCATGGTAGAGATGCTACGCAAATGCACACGAATGCTCCAAGATGTGATAGATTGGGTGTCAATGCGCGTGGTGCACTGACGGCCCGGAGCTCGACCCTGTCTGGATGAGACTGACCAGGAGCATGCTGTTGCTGACGGTTGAACGTCATGAGGGGTTTTCCCTCAGCTGTAATAAGCGATGGATGCCGGTGGAGCGATATCGAGTTGATGATTCCAATGAGGGGGGGAGACCAAACGCGCCATCGCCTTCAGCTTTGAGCGCTTAACGTTCGAGATTGCGGAGTATTCTCTTAATAATGGAGGACAGACTGACGTTATTTGACACTGACTCGTAAAAGATTCGACAAACAATCAAACTTGTCACTGCTTCCCTGTCTAATCTTTCGGTCGAAGCGCGGCGGATCCCCTAAAAGGAAAGACAGGAACCCACCAAGGAGGAGCAGGGTCCTCGAGATATGGAGTTGACACATAGCGTTCTCGAGACGGGAACGATTTGTTGATCGTGGCCAGCTTGTGCCCTTTCCCGCGTTGCCTAGTGATTATTGTCATCACTTTCTTCCTTCAATCGAAGAGTAATAGCTCGCTCGCCTAGCTCTCTAACTCAGTCGAGTCAAGACGCGGCTGCTCCGTATTAGACGCCGCCAGCTGATACCTAAATTTTGGGCACGAGGGCGACCATTGAGCTTATCAGCTCGGTCTGCTTTGGTCCTAGCACCGCCATTACAGGCATACATATGCATACCGAATCGCGTATCCTGTGTACGAAGCACTAGCAGAGGGAGCGGCGTCGCCGATCCTTGAGCAACAATGCCATTCGTCCATCTGTCACGCCAGCAGAGAGTAACTAGCCACTTCCGGCTAACACTGGCCGGAGCAAGGTAAGTGCAGCGGGCATTAGTCCAGCATCCCAATAGCGTCGTGGGAGGTGGCATGAGATTGCAAGGGCCGTTGCTGAGGCCTAGTGGTCGAGCAGATTCGCATGGCCTTAGCAGGACTCTATTATGGTAGCATTCTGCGGTGTCGTCTTCCGGGAAATACGGGGACCGCATAGCAAGAGGCATTAGTGTGTGTCTGGCTGATGACACCTGAAGCAATCCGCGCTTGGCTTGAGGAAAGGTGAGGCATCAGCTCTGCGTTCGGTGCTGTTTAGCCTTTTCCAACGATTCTAGAACAACTCAAAGGTCTGACGGCCACTCCCTGTTGACAAATATAGACCGTCCTAAGATGCGCCCTCCGTGCCGCCTTACCCTACGGAGAATTTGGTGCTTTGCGGGGGTGACAGAAATCGCTTCGATACATAGCAGTAGAAGCGGCAGAAGGCCAGCTAGGCAAGGCACGTCCTGCAAGCTACTTTGGCGCACCAACAAAGGCTGTTCCTGCGGGCGGCAGGGCGATGCTGACTAGGTCCGTAGGTTAAGTGAGGCGCCGCAGATATGATCCGCACTGCCAACATGTGCTCGGTGATGTATGTAGCATCAAGGCTATCGTCCCGATATCCATGCAACGGAAAACCGTTGAGACAGCGGCTGCCGCTCCATATTCGAGGTCGAGACGTGCGCCGAACCGTGCCACTGCAGGTGGATAGAGC